ATGTCGAGGCTGCCTCAGAGTCATTCAAGTGAATATGTTCAGGAGACAGTTGTATATACTAATCTGGAGTTCACAAGAACCCATGCGATATAAATTTGGGAAGTGCTGGCAAAATGGTAAATCTTAAGTGAACCCATTTAAGTGGGATGAAATTATTAGTAAGAGTGTATAGACTGAAAAGAGAAGACCCAGAAGAAAGCCCTGAGGGATGTGAAACTCTAACTTAAAAAATTCTAGATGAGGAAGAGCCAGTAAAACAGAAAGAATGAGAAGGAGTATCCAGAAAACTAGGAGGTGTTCCAGAGGGTATGGCATCAGAGAAGTAAAGGGAAGTAGTGTGGCTACAGGAGGGGAGGGGATCAGGAGTGTAAATGCTGTAGCACGGGAACAAGGGAAGGACTGCATGTCTGCAGGGTTTACCTCCATGGAGGTCATCGGCAACTCAGGGAGGAACAGCTTCAGTGTGGTGGAGGCTGTAAAACTAGTTTCAGGTGGGTTGAAGAGTGATGGAGGTGGTTATAAAGAGGGTAGAGGCGTGGACAATTGGTGGATAGTGAGGCCAAGTTCACTGAGATAGATGAGGATCAAAACACCTGATTTACGGTCGATCTGTATGCACCTTGAGTTTGAAATGCCTTTGTATTTTCAATGCCTAATTTGAAGACTAGTGTGGTATTTATGAATGAGTTGTGGTTGACTATCACTAATAAATTGTCATTTTTTATCCTATGATTCTTTTTCATATGGTTGGTAAATACGAAACTTGGTAACTGAAGGAGGAAATGGTATTGCCAGACTTCTTATAAAAGCAAGTATGTTTACCTACCCAACTTGAGGCAGGACTTATGTAGTATAGGAGCACATTGCTAAATACACTGGGGCCAAGTCTGCCCAGTCACTTAGAGCTGTAGGACTCAGGGTATACCTAAGACTCTGTCTTGATCTTTGTTTTCCTATTTATAAGTCGTTTTACCATACCTACTTCCTAGAGTAGCAAGAATGAAATAAAATAATAAATTACAATGCTAGCGCATGGCCAGGCTCACCGTCAGTGATCAATATGTTCATTCCTTTCAGTCCAACATAGAGAAGTATGAGGCACTGCAGGGAAGCTCCATTCTCCTTCCATACTTTTTAGTTCTCGGATTTTAAGGGCATTGTTTGAATAGGAAACACGTATAGTCCTTGTTCCTGGACTAGAAAATAATCAGTGGTACAACACAGCAGGACACTAGGATGATCTAAGCAGGCAGTGAAATAAGAAACTGGTGAATGGAGGTGGACACCAAAATATCCTACATAAATTCCAGTACAAGCAGAGCAAGTGAGCTAAGGAAAGGGAGAAGTGTAGGGAAAAGAAATAACATGAGTTATGTTAACAACTACCATGCAGAATCAATTTTTCCTAGTAGAGAAACATGATGGCTAAAGCAATGTTTTGATAAAAAAGGCATGTTTTAATTATAAAGAAGATTTTTCCGCCAGTAATTCCACGTAGCAAAATATAAAATGTATCAAGGTACAATGTTGACATTTCCAAATAGAGAGTAGACTTGTATGTCAGTGAAAATATTTAAATCAAGTCTTCCCAATCTTGTACAATTTTAGATGTTTCCACCTTTATTCAATTTTATAAATAATATCTAAATCTCCCCTATATAATTCTGTGATTAATATTATAGAAGTTAGAAAACAGGTCTAAGTAACTGAAATACCTAAAAGAACCAAAAGTCTAAATACCTATAATAAAAACCCAGCTGGATTGCACACATCTATCATTATGGGCACTTGATACAAATGCTCGACTCCATTAGACTTCACAGCAGTTTACTGAGAGTCTACAAAGCATTCCTGGTGTTGAGAAAATCCAATATAGTTCTTGGCCTGTCTATGGTAGGTCTTAACAAATATTTATTAATAAATATATAACATAATCATGCTGAGAAAAACAACAGTAGTTTTTTGGATTAATACTTTTAGGAGGATTATTTTCATTCAATTTTGTGTAATTGCAATTGATTGATTGAAGAAATTTATACCTAGCATATCATCATCATCCCTCCACTGGGAAGCACTTGATCCATCTGGCCTCTTTCAGTGGTCTCTACTGCTGCTATCTGACTTTATAAGAGAGAGGTGCATTTTCATACAATTAGTGGGAATATAAAATTGGTACCGTCTCTTTGGAGATCCATTTGTTAATGCTATTAAAAAACATAACCTTTAATTAAACAATTCCACACCTAGAAACTTATACCTCTACAAAGTTGAATGGACAAGGATCATCAAGACTGCAGCGTTTATAAACCAAAAAGCTGGCAACAACCTCAATGTCCATAAGAAAGGTTACATGAATTATGATGCCTCTATAATGGAATTTTCAGCAGCTGTTACAAAGAATGAGGTAGAATTTCTTCACTAACACAGATCTTTAAAAATACTAAGTGAAAACAGAGTTTGCATAATGATAATAGTATTGATAATAGTAATTATTATTATAAACACTTGTGAAGTATGCACTATATTCTAAGTGTTTTACCTTTATTAACACATTTAATTCCCACCCAGACCCCATGAGGTGGGTGCTAACTGAAAGTCCTCATTTTATAGATAAGGAAACTGAAGCACATTATTGTTAAGTAACTTGTCCAAGGTCACAAAATTAATGTCAGAGTCAGTCTCTGGCTTGAGGATCAGATTTCTTACCTGGTTCTGTCCTATGTATGTTAAAAAACGTATTAAATATGCATTTGTAAATATACACCTGTGTGTATGGATATGGATACAAACGTCCGTGTAAATGTATGTATTCATATGTAAACAGAACATGGTGCTAAATACAACCTCTAAACTGTTAGCAGTTGCTTTCTTTAAAGAGTGGGTAGGGGAGGAAGAGGGGAAGATACTCTTTATGTAATACGAGTCTATTTTGCCTATTTGCCTTTGTTATGAGGGATATTATTTTTATCATATTTTTTTCACAGAAGATGTTTCCCAAAATAAAACTTTCTAGTTATTTTTCTTCTGCTGCTAGCAATTAAGGAAGAAATCTGGCCATTTTTCCTCATTGTTAAAAAGTTATTCATTTAGCAAAAACATTTAAACTGTGCTAGGTATCCTGCCTGTCCTTGTCCTTAGGGAGCTCACTGTCTACTGGAACAGACTGACATATAAACAGGTAATTCCAGAGCCTCTATGATGGGGACATACAAAGATGGGGTGGGAGGGACACAAAGGAAAGGTATCAATTCTGTGGAGGTAGTGGAGGGGCAGTGCGAAGGAAGGTACCCAAAGAGAAGGTAATGCTTTGGTTAAATACTAAGTGAAAAGTAAGAGTTCTTCAGGAGACAGAGGAGAGAGAGAGAGAGAGAGAGAGAGAGAGAGAGAGAGAAGGCATCCCAGATGGAGGGAATGATGGCAGCAAAGACACAGAGACAGGAACCCACATTTGTCTTCAGGGAACTGGCCATAATTTAATTTAGTTGCAGCTTAGGGGGAAATGTGTGGAGTGCCTCTGGAGATGTGGGCAGAAGCCACATCCTCTAAGTTTTGTGAGCGTTGTTAAGAACTTCATTCTGTGTACCAGTGTTTCAGAATATTCAAAGAATAAAGGAGTTCATAGAATAACTCAAAAGATATGGATCAAAAGATACACACAGAATGGAATATTATCCAGCCTTAAAAAGGAAGGAAATTCTGACACATGCTACAAGTAGCTGAACCTTGAAAGCATTATGCTGAGTGAAATATCAGACACAAAAGGACAAATACTGTCTGATTCCACTTACCTGAGGTATCTAGAATAGTCAGATTCATAAAGACAGAAAGAATAGTGGTCACTGGAGGTTGAGGTGAGGAGGTGTGAATGACTGTTCAGTGGTTACATAAGTTCAGTTAGAGATGATGAAAAAGTTCTGGAGATGGGTAGTGGTGAGAGTTGCACAACTGTGAATGTACTTAGAGCCACTGAATTGTACACTCGATGGTAAAATGATGAATTTTATACAAAGCGTATTTTACCATATAATAAAACAAGTTGAGATGGTAAATTTTATGTGTATTTTACCACAATTTAAAGGATGGGCTAAAAAAATATATAGATGAAATATTTAGAAAAAGAATTCAAATTTCTTTTTTTGACATTAAAGTTAGATATGTCATTTCTTTGTTCAAGCTGATAATAATGACTTGTTTGTGTTATGTAATAATTGGCTGCCACTTACTGAAAGCTAGGTCTGCACTAGCTTAACATCCATAGAGATAGGGAGATGCAGGCCCAGAGACTCAACTGACTGGCACATGGCTAGTGAGAGGGCGTTTCTAGGAATTCCAGGATTGGAACTCACCTCCCAAACCCTTGCTCTGTCACCAACCCATAAGCTGCTTGATTATCTTACTACTTTTTTGGTTATGTCTACATTTTTCTTAAATTTTCCCTTGATCTGCAAAGAAAGGATTGTTTGGTGTTTTCTGGGTTCAGAAAATGTAAGAAGGCTGAGGGAACGCAGAATGAAATGTTTGTTGAGTGTTTACTTTTATCCACGTATGATACTTTTGAAGGGCTTTGACCTTCTGCCTGAGGGAGCAAAAGAACAAAGTCTAGACGAGCACACCGGAGAACAAATCAGCCAGCCACCTGTTACCGGGGAGAGGATGGTCCGTAGTTTTGTTGCGGCTGTTATCTGGAGAATACGGCTGCCAGGCCCCCCGCCCCCCCGCCTCCAGCCTCCCCAGCTGTGGGTACTCAGACACTGCGCTGGCTCCCGCGCAGGCGCGCAGCGGCCGCTGCGTTCGGTGGCCGTGCTTTGCCGCTTGGTGCACCGGTGCCCCCGAGTGATTCCTCCTTGGCCTCTTTTCCCTCTTTGCCTGGGACTAAGGGTCGCCGCTGTCCCGTCTCCTGGCCCTCTCCAACCCCTGCCCAGAACAATCCCGGCGCGGCCCCTACCCTCTGACCCCGCGTTGCACAATGCCGGAGCCAAGTCCCCAAGGGCGTGAAATCCAGCGTTCCTGCCCCTGGGCGGGGACGCTCGGCTACCGTGCGGGAAGCCGAGGCGGCGAGCGCGCCGCCGACACAGCTCGCCGGCCAGGGCCCCGCGAGTCCCCGGGGAGCTGCCGCGGCAGGCCCCCCGCACCGCCAGGCCCGCCCGCCGCTCCTCTCACAGGCCGCCGCCGCCGCCGCCGCAGCCATGGCGGAAGTTCATAGACGTCAGCATGCCCGGGTTAAAGGAGAAGCCCCCGCGAAATCCTCCACACACAGACATGAGGAGGAGCTGGGGATGGCGTCGGCCGAAACGCTGACGGTGTTCTTGAAGCTGCTGGCCGCCGGCTTTTACGGCGTGAGCTCCTTCCTGATCGTGGTGGTCAACAAAAGCGTGCTTACCAATTACAGGTAGGGCCGAGGCGGCGGCGGCGGCGGCGGCGGCGGCGGAGGCCGTGGGGAGGAGCGCGCGGCAGCGGCGGCGGGGCGCCGGCTTCTTGGACTTAACGCTGCCGGAGTTAAAGATGAACAAAAGTTGGGCGGGAGCCGGGGAGGGCGGGAAGCGGACGCCCGGTCGGGGCGGCGGGGCCGGCTTGGCGCGCGGGCCCGGGGTGCGGGTCCCGCTCCGGGCTCCCGGCTCCCGACGGCCCGGCGCGCGTTACCGGCGGCGGTGGGAAAGCGCCCGCCGTGCGGGCAGTGCAGCGCCCTGGAGACCTTGCCCCGCGGAGCAACGGAGCGGAGTTTGTTTCGTGACTTTTGGCTCCTGTGTACGGCAGGCTGGGAGCAGAGCGAGGGGTGCCGTCCTTTCACGGCATCCTGGGCCGGGGGCCGGGGCTTCAGGGTTCCCCAAGTTCGCTGACAGCCTCTGGGGACGTGCGCATCCCCAAGCTCTTTTAAGACGATTCGGATGCTGTCACTGGGACCCTGAGGCAGAAGCAGAGCTTCTGTTTTAAAGATTTTTGTTTTAAGGATGTGAAACCGTTGAAGACACCTATGTCTTCACCGCTTGAAAAATCCGTTGCAGGCAGCTGACTGAAATTGTGGAATCAGACAAGATGAGACAAGTGGCCGCCCCAGGCTACAAAAATCCGGGATGTTGCTGATCCCAACCAGCAGGGATTTCTCCCAGATTTTCATTAGGAGAAAAGACAGATGTTGGTGTTTGTATCAAAATACATTTAAGTTGAATTCACAGAGCTACAGTTTGGGTTTTTCTGACCCTGTATTTTTCTTTCTCCACCTTTTTGTAGATTTCCCTCCTCACTATGTGTTGGACTTGGCCAGGTTAGTTGGAATCTTCAGCATTACGTGGTTTATGTCGTTAGAACTTCTGTGTGTGTCTTTATGTGTAGAACAGTGAATCTGTGTTCTCTGTTTACAGATGGTGGCCACAGTGGCAGTTCTCTGGGTGGGAAAGGCGCTCAGAGTAGTCAAGTTTCCTGACCTTGACAGAAATGTACCTCGAAAGGTAAAATAGAAATAATAATACTTTTTTTCTGAAAAGAAGTCCCTGTATATTTTTGTCAGTGCTCTGCGTATTTAAAAATTGCAGTCTAGAAATTGCCCAGAGTGGATATAGTGAAGGTAAAGAATAAGTGTAGTAATATGTGTTTTTAAAAAGTCCTACAAACTCTTTAAAATTAAGAGGAAAAAGCCTCCTGAAATCTTGTGTTACTTTAATCGATGAACTTATTGGGAGGACAGCTATTTTGCATTTTCTACACCCATCTAATCTAACCAGTGTATCCTACATTCATTATTCTTTGGGTTTTCTTACTTTTCTGTCTGCCTCTGCTTAACTCCATGTGAAGATGAAATGTCTTTCCTTTTTTTTGCCATGGGCTAATCCATTATATTTTAAAGCAAATGATGTTTCTGTCTCATAAGGTTTGATCATATTCATATTTCTGTTTCTTTTTCCTTCTCCATTCTTCCCTCTCTCTGCCACAGTACTGCTGTTTATCCAGAAGTAATGTTTTTGTGGGTGCTTCATTGGGGCCAGATTGTGTATGAGTTCTGATCTTATGTTTTAAGTGGAAAGATTTTGATCGTATAAACAAAAGTGTTTCTCTTTGAAAGGACCTTGTTTTAGCTATCTTTATTATTGAGTTTTGTTATCCCTTTTTAAATTTTCTAGACGTTTCCACTACCTCTACTATATTTTGGGAACCAAATCACGGGACTGTTCAGCACAAAGAAACTGAAGTATGGATAACTTTATTTTACTAGTGAGGTTAATATAATGTGTTCTTAAAACTGTACTTGAATGTTAAGTATTTAACACATTGTTATTGATTCTGGAAAAAATGAAAGGACCAGAAAGCTTCTGTTACTAAATAATGAAGATTACGCCAAAGGTTTTAGTTTAAAATTTTTAAGTTTGAATAGAAAGAGTCTTACTTGTTTTGGGTTTTTTCCCCTTCACTTTGATAATAGAAGTCTTAAAATGTTATAAAATGCTGTGATAGAGATTTTCATTATTTTTCCAGATCTATAATAGTGAAGAATATACGTTAGGCTCCTGGGATTTCAATTTTTTAATACAATTTATAAATACCATATTTTAAGCAAACTCTGCAAGCAAAATCAGAGGATTGGTATGAGAACTTTTATAGTTTTTCTTTTAACCTGAGGTAGTTAAAATAACATCAGATGGAACTCTGATACAAATATTATACCTATGGCCATATCACTGTAGAAGCAGCATATTCACTTCCATAAAAAAGCAATAGTTCTCTGCTCCACAACAAAACTGTTTAATTATCCTCTAAATTCCCAATTCTTGGCTTCTCCACTTGAGGAGTATAGTATGTACTGGTGTATGTGATATTAAAATTATACACACAGGGGAGCCGTATAACAGAAATCCATGGTTTCACTACTGCCACTTTTTTTTTTTTTTTTTTTAACATTTTCATTTATTATTGAGAGACAGAGCATAAGCAGGGGAGGGGCAGAGAGAGGGGGAGACGCAGAATCTGAAGGAGGCTCCAGGCTCTGAGCTGTCAGCACAGAGCCCGTGAGTTCATAACCTGAGCCGAGCTCGGATGCTTAACCTACTGAGCCACCCAGGCACCCCTCACTACTGTCACTTAAGCTAAACCTTTGGCATAGTAGATGATTGTAAAACAATGGGGAGACCCTGAGGATCAGAGACAAAGTGTTTTTCATTTTTTTTTTCTCCAGACCCAAGAAACCTGACAGAATGACCATGATGATACCTCTGGGGGAGGGTTCATGGAAGTCAGATTTCTCATGGGTGGGGCATCCTTTTTCATCTCATTATCCACTTGAAAGGAAATGCAGACCTGCTACAAAGTGCTGCTTGTATAGAATTTGCTCTTCTTCATCCATTGCCATCCATCTATCCATCCATTCATTCACAGCTATCTTTCATTGCCAGCTAAGTATAAGGCACCTTGGAGTGAGATGAGATATATTCAGAAATAACTGTATTGCAAAAGGCTCTGTGTTTGACTAGTGTAAGCAAAGTGCTCTGGTAATTTAGAGGAAGACCAAAGTACTTCCACAAAAAGTCAAGGACTGTTTCATGTGGGTAGGTTATCAGATACGCCGTTTGGAGGGTTGGAGATGTTTGGGGGGAGTGGAGTGGGTGGGAAGTAAGGTTAGTCTAGTAAAAAAGGAAGAGAAAGGTCTTTATCTCTTAAAGACTAACATGGTTACTGTTAAGGGTATTTGTATAATAAGTAGGATAAAATAAAAAAGTGGCTGTTCTTAGTCTTTGATAATAGATACATGATCTCTACCTTTTTTTATAGTTAGCTTGGCATTTATCACTTCTAGTAGGTTTATAAAAGCAATTTTTTCAGGCTTTCAAATAAGAATTCTAGAGAGAAGTAAAGGTTTAATCACAGATTAATCAACGTGGAATGGAATTAATCAGCATAATGGAAGGAAGAGATTAGCATTATTTTAAGGTATTTGAGGAGTCTTAGGTTAAAAAGTAAATTGTTAAACTTTATTTTACCTAATCATTTTTATCATTTATTCATTTATTTTTATTTGCAGCTTGCCAATGTTTACAGTTCTGAGAAGGTTCTCCATCCTGTTTACAATGTTTGCTGAAGGAGTTTTACTCAAGTGAGCTAAATTTCTAATATATGTAGTCTTTAATAAACTTTAATCATCTTGAAAAGGGACCCAGCATATGTGAAATAGTAAAATTATTTGTCTTGTTTCTACTTTATCTTTTGAGAAGTTTAAGAAACTTTCTTCCTTTGCTATAGGAATTGATAGTTTATGGGAAGGGTAGTTGGGAAGGTTATGAGTTGTAGTTGGAATCTGTCTGAACATGAGATATACTTTTAAGAATTCCTGTACTGTTGCCACTGGGTGAAGCTGGGTCAGAAACATCAGTATAGATTTTAAATGGTGTTCATAACTTGGCTACTTTTACCACAAGTGTGTGTATTCTTTTTCTACTTAAAGAAATTCTGATTTACAAAAATGCAAACTCAATAATAATAGTAAATTATAAGAATAAAAAAATGAGTATACTTTTTTTTATAACTATTTGCTTCATGAAAAGGGGCTCTTTGAAATATCCAGTTTCGTGGAAGCATTTAAAATATTGTTTATAGCTTTTTTTTTTTTTTAAAGAAAACATATATATTTTTTTGCCTTAAGATTAAGTCTTTTGCCAAAGATTAAGTCTTTGTGAATAATTAAAGGCACATGTATGTATTTTTTAATTATTTTATTTTGCAGGAAAACTTTTTCTTGGGGTATTAAGATGACTGTATTTGCAATGATTATTGGAGCCTTTGTAGCTGCCAGGTAAGAATGTATTAAGAACATATTGGAAATTATCAATAATTATTGATAATTATCAGTTACCAGTAAAGAGATTTTCTTGTAGACCAAGTAAGAATCCCGTCTTTGAAAAGCATCCAAAAGATTCTTTAAAAGTTAAATCTTTCTGGCTGTATTAAGGTCAAAGCTGGCAAAATCTGATTCTTCTTTGTATTGAGCATATACCTTATGCCACATAATATGTTTGGCATTTTACACATATTATTTATTCATTCTTTACAACAACTCTGAGAGCTACTGGTATAATTTTCCTATTTTTAGTTGAGGAAACTGAAACCTGAGTTCAGTAACTTAGTCAAGGTTACACAGCTAGTAAATGGCAGAACCGAGATTTGAATTTGTGCCTGACTCTGGAGCCTGTGTGCTTTTATAAATCATCTGGTATTCGTTTACTTTGCATAGTGCTGAAGCAAATAGTGTCTCAGAAAAGGCAGATGATAATGAATTATTTGCTTGTAGAATAATAATAGAATTTCTTTATTTGGCCTCACTTAAGATATATCACAAATGCCATAACTTAGACATTCTGTTAAATTACTAAAGCTTTTTCCGTTGTTCTTAAGTTTAAGTTTTAAAATGCAGGGAGAGGGGCACCTGGATGGCTCAGTCATTTCAGGCCATGATCTCACAGTTCTCTGCTCCTACCCTGTGTGTGCATCTGCTCTTTTTCTCAAAAATAATTAATTAATATTTAAAACAGGGAGAAAACGTATGCCCAAAGACTCAGAAAATTAAAGTTATGGCTAGAGTCCTTCTACATTTTACTTAGCCCAAGGCATACATATGTGGGTTTGCTAATGACACAGATTCTTCCCGACACACATTTTCCATCTGGGAGTTCAGTGCGCTTCTTGGATTAGCTCATTTACCTTCATCATTCCTGTGGTATAGGCAGGAGAAAATAGTAAAGTCAGATTCTATTCCACCCTAACTCTCCAACGAAATTTCATTCCTTTTTTTTTGTTTGTTTGTTTTTAAGGATAGAAGAGTTACTAGAATTTTGTTATATTGCTGATGGTTTTTCCCTTTGCATAATATTGCCTCCCTGAAAAAAAATTGTATATCAGCCTCTAGTCTTTCTTTTAGAGATGCCCTGCTAGTCTTTGAAGCATTTCCTTGAAGCTGGTGGGATTCAAACCTGAGTCAAACAACAGGAGTTCCTCAGGGCCAACCCTGGTCTGCAGATCTGGATCAGCCTTATCTAATCAGAACCTTTTAGTAGGGAAACAGATTGGGAGGAAGGGAGTCTGAAGTTAAAAGGTTGTCAGGCTGTTTGGAAAAGAGAATGTACATTAGACTAGTTCTGCCTAAAATAGCAGTAGCATAGAGCTCCTTAGAAGTCTCATTCCATGTACTAGTTAGCTATAAATACATGGTAGTTTTGCGTAATCAGAGAATGTGGAATGTGGGGCCACTAGTTTATCTAGGGTGCTAAAGGTTACTGAAGACATAACTCTTCTTAGATTTTCATTTTTCAGTTTAGTCTACTAAATTCTTTTTTTTTTTTTTTTTTTTAAATTTCTGAGCCAGAGAGAGAGACAGCATGAGCAGGGGAGGATCAGAGAGAGAGGGAGATACAGAATCCGAAGCAGGCTCCAGGCTCTGAGCTAGCTGTCAGCACAGAGCCTGACACGGGGCTCGAACCCATGAACCATGAGATCATGACCTGAGCCGAAGTCGGACACTTAACCAACTGAGCCACCCATGTGCCCCTTTAGTTTACTAAATTCTTATCTTGTGCCTGGTGGTCAGCTAAATAATAGAAAACTTCAATTTCCTGAATCCTGACAGTTATACCTCATAGGCTTTTAAAGCAGTGATTTAAGTATTTGAATTCCTGCTGTGTGCTTAGACACTGTTGTAGCTTGATCTCAGAACTGACTATAATCTGTACCTCAGAAACTCCACCCAGTGACCCAACCACTTGTATAACCTGCCTTTTGTGTGAATGAATCCTTGGAAAATGACATGTTAACACATTAATCTTTTTGGTTTCCTTATCTTTGAAATTGAGCCCCAGTGCCGCCTTCTTGCTTCAGATGTATTATAATGGTGAATTTGGTTACTTTTTCTTGTCTGACTTTGAATTCAGAGCAGTGTGTTCTTAACTGACGTGATTGATTGGTTACTAATGTTATTGTTTAAGTGTTAGTACTTTTCATTTCTGAAGACTTTCCTATTAAGTTTGAAATTGCAGACTATAACCAGGAATCAAGAAATAGTAATAAACTGATAAAATGCCTAATGTTCACTTACCTAAGTGAGAATATGTTCTTCCATATATTGTACTTTAGACTTATTTAAAATTACATGCACGTTCTTTAAATGTAAGTTATTAAAGTGTTGCTTGTGTTTTTCAGCTCTGACCTGGCATTTGATCTGGAAGGATATGTTTTTATTCTGGTAAATGATGTCCTGACAGCAGCAAATGGCGCATATGTAAAACAGAAATTAGATTCAAAAGTAGGTAGCAATCTAAATCTTTAAGAGATGTTTACTGATGTTGGGAGTGGTAATGTCAATTTGTCAGGAAAAAAGCAGAGAATAAAGAAAATTACTTAGGAGAGATGGGAAAGACCTAGGGATCTTTGAAGGCAAAATACCTGTATGTTGCTGTTCACATAAGAAACTTTATTTTTCAGTTATTAATTAGCAATTAGATTTTATTTTTATCCCTTTTCTGGAAGGGATTGGGTGAATATTGACTTTGAGAGGGAAGTAATTAAGTGTGCTCATTGGAGAAAAGTGTCATAAATGTTCATTGCTGTGGAATGGACAAGAAAGAAATATATGGAAGCCCTTGAGCAGATTTGAGGAGTAAGTGTTGAAAGGGGCTGCGGAACAGGAATGGACTTTGCATATTTGTCCCACAAATAATGGGAAACTTTAGGGAGCATTAGGATCATTCTCTCTCAGGAGCAGCGCTGGGTTCCTTGGCCTAGATCTTGTGCACATGAATGTTACATACCCAGCTCTTAACTTGCAGCATGCTTTAAAGATATTTTTTTGTTGATCTAGTATATACTTTGAATATATACACACTAAATTTTATTTTTAGGTCAAGCCAGAAAGTAGAGAACTCGAGCCACATTGCTTTTACTACACTATAGTATAAATTCACATTATTGTAAGAAGAAGCTATGTGGAACTCAGCTGTATACATCATAGGATTGTTATTGAAGGAATTGCCCTTTCTATCATGATGTATCCTGTATAAGGACCCACATGAGATACCGTCACCATAGTGTTTCCTGAACATTGTTACATTTTTTATCTCATAATTAAATGTTGCAGCTGACCATGACTTTATCTTATTTCCCTACCCATGTTTTCTCTTCTAAGTCAGATGACCTTATCATCCTAGTTTTTAGTTTGCCCTATCATATGTGCAGTATTTCTGAAACTCCTTCAGGCCATTTTTTAGAGCTCATATCATAAATACAAATGCCCTACCTAGTCAATAGTAGTATTAGTGTCAAGTTTGTATTATCTTGGCAGGGGGCTTTGCCTTCTTCAAAAAGAACCATGGAAGGAATGGCCATCCCAGGAGTTTTCATTATTTTCAGTTATTTTGAAGGTCTTTGAAGAACAGGGACAATGTGGATTGTTTCCAACAATTTTTTCTTAAATATACTTTTTATGTCTTATTCTCCAATTATTTGCCTTGACAACTAACTCTGTATGATGATTGTATTTTAATGGAAGCTACTACTACTAAACAATCTTTATCTTTTTTTAAAAATTTTTTAAATGTTTTTCATTTATTTCTGAGAGAGAGAGAGACAGCATGAGCAGGGGAGGGTCAGAGAGGGAGGGAGATACAGAATCTGAAACAGGCTCCAGCTAGCTCAGAGCTAGCTGTCAGCACAGAGCCTGACACGGGGCTCGAACCCACGAACCGTGAGATCATGACCTGAGCCGAAGTCAGACGAGCCACCCAGGTGCCCCAATCTTTATCTTTTTGTTTTTTTTTTAAAATGTTTTCTTTTTTAAATGTTTTATTAATTTCTAGGGAAGAGAGAGAGAGAGACAGCGTGAGCAGGGGAGGGTCACAGAGAGAGGGAGTCACAGACTGAAACAGGCTCCAGGCTCTGAGCTGGCAGTCAGCACAGAGCCCGATGCGGGGCTCGAACCCACGAACTGCGAGATCATGACCTAAGCGAAAGTCGGACGCTTAACCGACTAAGCCACCCAGGTGCCCCTAAAATGTTTTATTTATTTCTGAGAGAGAGACAGCATGAGCAGGGGAGGGTCAGAGAGGGAGGGAGATACAGAATCCGAAACAGGCTCCAGCTAGCTCAGAGCTAGCTGTCAGCACAGAGCCTGACACGGGGCTCGAACCCACGAACCGTGAGATCATGACCTGAGCCGAAGTCAGACGAGCCACCCAGGTGCCCCAATCTTTATCTTTTTGTTTTTTTTTTTTTTTTTTTTTTTTTTTTTTTTTTTTTTTTTTTTTTCCAGCCCATTTGCTGCTTTGGAAAATAGGTACCGGTAATAGCATTCCATTTGTCCATCAGCCTCAGCTGTCTAAAACAGTACTGTCCAATAGAATTTTCTGTGTTGATAGAAATTTTCTATATCTCTACCGTCTATTAAGTGTAACTGCTAGCCACATGTGGCTGTTGAGGTACAACTGAGGAACTGAATTAGTAGTTTAATTATAATTAAGTTGAAATAGCTGCATATGGCTAGTAACTACTGTATTGGAAAGCACAGTCTAAAATATATTCTAGAACCTGGACAAAAGCAAAGAGAGTTTCTGAGTATTTCATTACCATGAGAGTCCTTAATTCCCTCACTTAAAAAATAACTTAAGACTTGTTTGTCTTAGAACTTTTAAGCATATTGATCTGCTTTTCATACTTCATAGGTTGGGAGCAATATACTAAAAGATGGAATTCTACTTAGAGACAGAGAGGCGGTATAAAAGGTCAGCTAACAACAAAAGAAACAAAACAGGAAAACCATAAAAGTCAGATGGAAGTACCCAAAAACAGGGTGATTAAACAGCATTAAGGACAACATCATATAAGGATATAATACAGTAATGCATGTTTATCATGATGCCCAAAATTGAATTTTAGCCAATGCACTATGTTTAACAAGGCAGGGAAAAAGATACTCAAGACAATTAAAATGAGAAAGTAAGAACAATTTGGCATATAAGTTTTTGGTATTTGTTAGTTATCTGGATGGTGTGTGTGTGTGTGTGTGTGTGTGTGTGTGTGTGTGTGTGTGCGCGCGCGCGCGCGCGCATTCTCTTACTTCCCGGATCATACTCATGTCTCTGGCCGACTGGGCATCTGTTGTTAAAGGTAGTTTGTTCTACTATGGCTTTTTTTTTTTTTTTTTTTCCTGCCGTAGAAATGAGGCACATCTTTTCATTGATGCTTTTGGTGCCCATAGAAATCAGTTATTTGGTTTATCTGAGAGGCAGTATGGCCACACTGAGATGCTGTTAATAAATCAGAAGTTTTATTACCTTCCTGTAATTTCAGGAATGCTTAAATCATGGTCCTTTGAGCATGAGACATGTGATATGAAGATTTAGTGCTGCATTTCAGACCTGAATGCAACTTTTGAGTTTAAAATGTTTCTAACTTTTTATGGGGCGCCTGGGTGGCTTAGTCGGTTGAGCGTCCGACTTTCGCTTAGGTCATGATCTCGCAGTTCGTGGGTTCGAGCCCCGCGTCGGGCTCTGTGCTGACTGCCAGCTCAGAGCCTGGAGCCTGTTTCGGTCTGTGACTCCCTCTCTCTCTGACCCTCCCCTGCTCACGCTGTCTCTCTCTCTTTCTCCTAGAAATAAATAAAACATTTAAAAAAAAGTTTCTAACTTTTAAAAAAAATCACAGAAATAATACATATTAGAAGTAGTAGAAAGTATAATAGAAGTAGTAGAAAATGTAGATAAGCAAGAGGAAGAAAATATAAATCTCTCTTAATTCTACCATCAAGGGAGAAGCACAGTTTTGGAGGATAAGTGTGTATGTGGGCATTTGCATGTATATGTACACATTTAATTGTGTACAATTTTAAATGAAAGAGCAATAATATATAATGTTTTCTAGTCTGTTTTTCATTTAATGCAGTTTCATGAACACATTTACCCTATCAGTCAGGATTATTTAACGTTTTTAGTGGTTGCATAATATTTCATTGTTTGGTTGTTTCTAATCAACTAGAAATTTCTGTTGTTGAATATTTGTTTCCAGTTTTTCAAAGCTCCTTTTGAGAAGGTACTTTGGCTTTTTACATTGTTCAGTGATCTTTCATCACAGAAGTTAGGCGGATATCATGTACCTATATTCACTACTTCATCTCCATCCAACTCCCTCCCACCCCCGCCCCCCAAACTCTGGCCTACTTCTTGAGGTGACTGCTTCCAGCTGAATGTCTTAGAAGTGTGTGAATCAAAAGTGGGCCGAGAGTTCTCATAGGCTCCCTGCGTTTGAAGGTGTGTGTGGTTCTTTGTTGCTCCCCAGTAGCTGAGGGCACAACAAATCATACTTCTGGGAGGTGTTGATAGAATAATCTTAATCTTTATTGTACTTCACGTATCCATTTTCAGAAATACTTCACTGGTAAGTTATGTCTGTCATGTTGATCTAGGTGTTAGTACGTGTGTCAGTATCTACCCATCTGTCTCTCTTAAATAAGGCATTTGGTTATGGTTCTGAAAAGCTCAAGACTGACTTGACTTTGATTCAGTTAGGGAAAGGGAAGGGCTTCAGGACTGTGGTTATATAGAGAGATGTGTGTATATTCAAAATAAACTTTTCCCTGCTTGCTATTTTGAGGTAGCCAGTTGAAGTTATTTTTATTTCTCTCATTTTAAGCACTCAAAGGATTTATTTCAAATAAATTTAAAATCTTATAGGTTTGCTTTTCTTTTTTGCTTTTGAAAGTTTAGGTTATTAACATTTGCAGACTTACGACTTGGCTGATTTTCTGTCTATATTGTGGGGAATGGTGTGTGTGTGTGTGTGTGTGTGTGTGTGTAATGGTAGTGGAATTCTACCATTACACATGGGTGTGTATATCTGTCTGCTAGAACGAAATGAAATACGTAATTATTTACTATTCTAGGAGCTGGGAAAATATGGTCTTCTCTATTACAATGCACTGTTCATGATTCTGCCCACCCTGGCCATTGCATATTTTACAGGAGATGCGCAAAAGGTAAGACTTTGTAATTATTTAATGACTTATGTTTTTGACTTTTATTATTATTTATGTCCACAAGATAGACTGTGTGGTTGTTAAAAAGTAATGTGCTTATTGAGTGACCAAAAACTGAGAGTTTGTTTTTTAGCTTGCTAATGTCATGCTAAGCTTTTTTCTTGGCATAGTATTGGATGGTACTAAAATGGCTCAAAATAGCTTTGCCTGTTAACGTAAAAATAGTGCATGCCAACTAGTGTCCTTCTCTAATGTGCCAGAAGGAGAGAGGAGGGGACTTTTCACATTTCTACTAAACTACAAAATAAGAATAGAGGCAAACTATCTTTGAGAAATGAAAAAATCCTGAAGTAGTAGAATTCTTCAAATCTAAACAAAATATTTGATATTTTGAAGAAGCTCTCTGTTTTGTTTTACATTTGTCATGCTGGTTTAAATCCTAAGCTAGGTTTTTTCCTTAGGAGATATTTAGCATCATGTGGTAACTTAACCATGTAAAAACACATTTAATAGTTTACTCATTTTCTAAAATGGTTGGCTAAACCCACAGTAGAGTAGCAAAATAAATCCATACAAGCATATTTCTTTAAAACAAACCCCTATTCATAGGAGAAAAATTGATACCATTTTGTTAGAATTTACAAAATTTTGCAGACTAAATGGAAACCTAGAATTTTGCCAAGATTTCTGTAACAAGATTTCTTCTAATGATCCCCCTGCCTAGTTTCTTCAGAATAAATTTACTGGTTATTTACTCTAATGACAGTGACAATTCCCACAAATCAGCAGGAGCCAAAATAAAGACAAGGTTTTAAAGTAGACTATTAAAAAATTGTTCTTCAATCAAAGGTCAGAAAAAACCTTATAAAGCTTATAAAGGCCCTTTGTTTTATTCATCAAGAACTCTTTTAAAAAACACATAGATCATCTTGAAAATGTATAAATGTTTTAATGAACTGTGACCTGGCTACCAGCAGGCCTAAAAATGACTCCGAAGTAGGAAATGGAGCTGGTACTCTGAGTGATAAAAAGTGCTGAAGAAGTATTTTGTGGCTGTGAAAACAATGGGAAGAGAAACTAACATTTATTGAGTCCCTATTACGTGCTAGTTACTTTACATTTGTAATATAATGTAGTCGCCAGAACACCTCTAAAAGTTTGAATTATCTCTATTATGCCATTAAGGAAATAGGGGAAATAAGGGCTCAGAGAGACTGAGTAACTGACCCAATGTCATACTGTTGGTGAATAGAGTCAGGGTTTAAACTCAGGCCTAGGGGCCCCTGGGTGGCTCAGTTGGTTAAGCTTCTGACTTCAGCTCAGGTCATGATCACATGGTTTGTGGGTTCGAGCCCTGCATCGGGTTCTGTGGTGACAGCTCAGAGTGTGGAGCCTGTTTCAGATTCTGTGTCTCCCTCTTTCTGCCTCTCCCCCACTCATGCTCTGTCTCTCTCTGTCTCAAAAATAAATAAAACAAAAAAATTTTAGACTCAGGCCTGAACTCCAAAGGCCGTGGTCTTTCCACAGTGTTCTCTCACCCTCTAGGAGACCTTGACAGAAACACCTCTTACCCTTTAGCTATGGGGCAAAAATGTAAGGTAAAGTCACCAGACTCCTCATGGTAGCACAGAGGGATCCAAATCTTGAGGTCAGTCTGTATATGAGAAAGTTGGGAGAATTAATGTGGTTAGGTAGTCTATAGACTTGGCAAAGATGGAATTCTCATTAATTTGAGACTTTGACTAGTAGCTTGTAGCTACTTGAAAAAAATGACCAAAGGGGATATTTCTTCATTCCAGAGTGATGATCATTTAAATAGAAGTTGTTGGCCAGGTTGTAACGTAATTCATGCATATTTGAAAGTTCAGTAACTGTCAGCTTGCAGTGCTTCAGTATATTTGAGAATGTTTACTCGTAGTGAAAAAAGTTGCTTTGCCACCTATCATAGGATGAAATTTAGATTTTCATCTCACTGGTTTTTTCCTTTTTTATGCATAGGAGTAGAATATGAGTAATCTTTTTTTAATTTCTAACAAAAATGCCAGGCAATTTCAAGAAAGGTTTATTTTGGAAGAAATGTTGAGAATGACAGAGTTCACCTGGATACTTTCAAGTTGGGATGATAAACTAATAGAAGCTGAATTTTATTACTTTCTAATCAAACCCCATCAGCATTTTAGGTTTCACATGAGTGTTTGTTTATCCTCACTCTTATTATTAATTAATGTTCTTTAAAAATGTTTTTTTAAATGTTTGTTTATTTTTGAGAGAGAGAGAGAGAGAGAGGCAGAGCGCTAGTGGGAGAAGTGCAGAAAAAGAGAGAGGGAAACACAGAATCCGAAGCAGGCTTCAGCTTCTGAGCCGTCAGCACTGAGCCCAACGTGGGGCTCGACCCTACAAGCCGTGAGATCATGACCTGAGCCACTGTCGGATACTTAACCAACTGAGCCACCCCGGCGTCCCAATATTATTCGTATCATACGCTTACTAGGGTGTAGATGGACACACTGGCTGCCAATCTTACTATCTCCTGCTCTTTTTCTTAACATTCTCTCCTTCACATGTTCTCCTTGTAACATTCTCAAATAGTTAAGTATTACTTTGTGTCTCACAATGTTAGGCTCAGGTGATAAGGGAAGAAAAAGATGAATTAGGTGGTTTTCTTGTCTTTGAGGACCATACGGTCGTCTTGGGGAGTAGACCTGTGAACATTGGAGTAATAACCTGTTCTAGGTTTTGTGGGAGAAGTGTTTTGGGGGTGTAGTGGGATATAAAATGGAAGTGGGTCAATTCTTTCTCCTTGCTGGGGACAAAGTGCCTCACGGAACTTTGCCTACAAACAAAGTAAAATATAAGTGATATGAATAATCAGTGTTGTTTTAGGAGGTTATGAAACAAGTAACAGTGAAAGAAGTAAGACTTCTGTTTGATTCTGTGCCTAAATTCCTTGTATGCTTATGAGACTAGTCACTGCAATTTCATTTTAAGTTCAATTCAGATGAGTGTGTCTGAGCATCTTCATTGGGAATATATGAGAAATATGACATAGTCCTTGCTTCACAAGGAAGACACTGGCATGCTACAGAGATGGAATGAGATCTAGCACCAAAGTGCGTGCTTGTCAGTCAGTACCATAAGTATTCAGGTTAGAAAGAAATTGGTTTGGATTAAATATCAGGATTGACTTTTTAGAAGAGATAGAGCTTGGTTTTCTTATCCACTAAATGCAACAAGTAATGCTAACCTGTTCTGGGAGTTGCTGTTAAAGATAGAACTTAGGTGGTTGAGGGGTTTGCTTTTATTCACCAGCACAGAAACAATGTACAGAAGCTACCCACAGATGACCTAGCATACCCAAGAGGCTGTAGTGTTCTGTAAGAGGTTACAGTTTTATTTCCTCCATTGGAAGATCTGGTTTTACATAGTCAGTAGGCTGTATGTCTGAAGTCCTGGCAAAAAGGGTTTCATATTACTGAGGGGATATGTAGCATGATTTCAGATGAGAGTTTTCTAGTAAGTTGGGTTCATTTTCAGTATGTATTTTTTTAGACTTGTGCTTTTCCTTCACTGTATGTGATTAAGTGGACATTCATGTATGTGCATTTATTTTTTTTTTAAGAGTGGACACTTTTGTGGGGCAGTTTTTTTTAAGTTTATTTATTTATTTTGAGGGAAAGAGAGAGAGAATCCCAAGCAGGCTCCGCTCCATCAGCGCAGAGCCCGATGAGGGGCTCGAAATCACTAAACGTGAGATTATGACCTGAGCTGAAATAAGAAGTCAGATGCTTAACCAACTGAGCCACCCAGATGCCCTGAGACAGTTTATCTTTAAATAAAGCTGTTTCCAGGTTAACAATTTGAGGCTACTTCTGGCCTTTAGGAAGACTTTGCCTGTAAGGTATGATGCCTTATACTTGACAAGATGCTTCCACGTAAATCATTTTCTCTGATCCTCCTTGTATACCTGTGAGGTTGGTTATTATTTTTAGAGGTTAAGAACAAGATTAAGGTTCCACAGTGGCAGAGTTCAGAACTAGAATCTGTCTGACTCCAGATAGATCTCTTACTGTTTGTCTGGTTACATCTCTCAGAGCCATTTGCTGCGTCTCTGACTTACGTTTACCCCTGTTTGGGACTTCCACGCAGAGCTTTCTTACAGAACAAGCTTGTGAGAAACACCTTCAGAGTAATATTGGAAGTAAAGTTTCTGAAACTTGGCCTTATCATTACTTAATCTTTTACAAGTAATCATATTTCTTTCATTCGACAAATATTTACTGAGTGCTTTACTCAGGTGCTGTTCTAAATTTAAGAAAAGAAAAAAAAAAAGACTTCTTGCTGCTTAAAGGAGCTTGCAATGCAGTGGGTGAAGTCAACTAAACAAATAGTAAAAAAAGAACTACGAGGAGAAATAGAACAAGGAGGAGAGTGATTGGGAAAGTGCTGCTTGGGATGAGTTGATAGAGAAGGCATCTTTCTCAGTTTCATATGATCAGGCATGGAACTGAATGGACTGAGACCAGTTTGTGCGGCACTTCTGAAGGAGTCCTCTAGTTGGAGGTAAGAGCAGGTTCTAAGTGCTGAGGTGGGAGTGGGAGTGCCTGGCTTCTTTACAAGAAGCATTTTCTGAGTTAAGTGAATACCAGGAAGATCAAGGTGGGCCTTGAAAGATGCGGCGGAAGAGAAACAGAAGATACATTCTGGGTGGAACTAACATCATAAGCTCAGGCCCAGCTGCGGGGACCAGCCTCTTCTGTATGCTTAGGTGGTGCCAGTCAAAGATGTTGGAGGCCTTCGAAGAGACCTTAGAGAACTCTGGTTCAAGCCTACTCTTTCACTGTTGAGGAAGCTGGGGCCCAAAGAGGGTTAGGACTAGAATCCTGGTTTCCTGACTGTGACCAGTACTCTCACTTTTCCTACAACGTCACACCCTGCCTCCTTCTAAGTTGGGACAAGTGCTAGATACAGTAATTTGAAATTTACTCTGAAGATATGATGAG